AGAGAGAATGAGACAGAGAGCAGGAGAGGGAAGAGGGCAGAGGGAGAAGCAGACCCCCCGCTGAGCAGGGAGCCCGATGTGGGACTAGATCCCAGGACCCTGGGATCATGACCTGAGCCGAAGGCAGTCGCTTAACCAACTGAGCCCCCCAGGCGCCCTTCCTCAACTTTTAATATAAAAAGATTAGGGGTGCCTGGGGGGCTCAGTTGGTTAAGCGACTGCCTTCGGTTCAGCTCATGATCCCAGGGTGCTGGGATCGAGCCCCGCATCAGGCTCCCTGCTCCCAGCATGGAGTCTGCTTCTCCCTCTCCCACTCCCCCTGCTTGTGTTCCCTCTCTCACCGTCTCTCTCTCTCTTTCAAATAAATAAATAAATAAAAATCTTTAAAAAGATTAGACTATATTCATTAAAAACTTGGTAAACTTTTAAAATTGGTCATTCACAGCTGCAGTAAATGTTCCTACATGTTATTAAGAAAGAGGTCGAGGTGTGATTGTTCTTTGTAAAAACTTTATCCGAGGCAGCAGCAAACATGAGTTTTCTTGACATGGTTCAGTAATTCAGGCACTTCAACTCCTTTCAGATCCGGTTAAACATGCTTTTAAATAGATGGAGGTGGCCTATTAATAGACCTCATTTCCTTACCCAGGACTTCAAATGAAATTATGTACTTTCTCTCTAATGTTTAAAAAGGTCTCAAAGATATTTTCGCAGGTTCACATATTTAAAAGGCCGGCCAAGTCTGGCTGTACCCACCAGAGAGAAATTCTTCAAGAAGATTACCAAGTGATGGTTTGTATTTTGTGACCTCTTTACTAGTAACACATGTTCAAGAGGAAATTGGCAGTGATTTCCCACTTCTCCACTTGGCCAATTTCTTCGCTCTTTTCTCTCTCTCCTTCACACACCGGCGCCTTTAAGGGGTGTAACCTGCAGTCTCATCCACCCCTTTCCTTTGCGATTCTCTCTTTCCTGATGAGATTTTCTCTCTTCAGCTCAGGCGAGCTAATCCTTCACTCATATTTGACATCAATTCCTTCATTCCTGGCCGCTTGTTAAGTTGGCTTGTTTACGGAATTTTAATATTTCTAATAAGTTCATATTAATTTATTAAATACCTATATAGTATTTGAAAAATTAAATTAAGAAACAAAATTTAATCATCAGTATCTTCCTGCTCCCCGTTGATGTCTACTTCGATCTGAAGAAAAGCAAAATGCTTAGAAATCTTGACTGGAACTACTCTGGAGAGACCTGATGGCTCTTTCCCTTTATATATCTACTAATTGATCTAATCTAACTCTAAATCAATTCAAAGCCAGCAGTTTCTGGTAAGACATTTATTTTACATGTGTGCTTAAGTGGTGATAAATCAGGTCTTTTCAAAAAAACTTATTAAAGTTATCCTACTAAATATAGAAATGTAGTGTGAGAAAAAGCAAGTAATACTTTGTGATTTGAACAGAGGAAAGAAAAAAAAAAAAAAAAAAAAACCTGCCTGGAATTAGTAAGAACTCACAGCGTTTGGGATGATATTTTCTTTTTCGTTAAAAAGCAACAAATACCTTTTGATGCGACACGGTCAACTTGGAAAATAAAAACAAAACACTGCGATGGAGTAGCGAACATGCACTACAGCAACCTCATTTATAACCAGTGACGAGCAAAACGCACGAAGTTCCTAAAAGAATGTGATTGTTGTCAGAAGGAATGGGGTCCCCCAGCGCCGCGTTCAGCTCGGCTTGCGCTCAAAGCCATGGCCGAGGGGCGCGGCGGGCGCGGCTCGGAGCCTGGTGGGCACAGACCAGCAAGAAAGTGAATTCTGCACACTGCACAAATCGTGGCTCAGTTCAGGGCAGTCAGATTGCATCTGGGATCAACCGACTGTGCTTCATGAAACCGTCAGCCCTCATTTGTGTCTAGCTGTTTTCCCAGGTCCGGCTGTAAACAAGGCCGGCTGGGGGCTGTCGGCCTCCGCTCCCGCGCGCGGGGAGACCTCACCGGCAGACCTCGCCCCGGGGCCTCCGCGCGCGCGCGCAGGTCAGGGTTCCAGCTTCCAGACAGCCCTTCCAGCGCACGCCCGGCGAGTCACAAAGCAAAGCCACTTTGGCATGACCGACTTAGGGTCTCCTTTCAGAGACATACCTTAGATTCCTACACATTCTGGCATGGGCCGTCTCGTGCATGAAACTAAGTGAGGTGTCCCTAATATGAACAAGTGTTTTGTTTTGCTTTTTGGGTTTTTTGTTTTTTGTTTTTTTCAGCAGACTAGCTCAGCAGATTCATCCTGTTGGGGAGGAGGGGGTGGTAGTGATTGTTTTAGTTGTTTTACTGCTCTGGGGCTTTGCTTGTATCAGCCAAAAAAAAAAAAAAAAAAAAAAATGGCTAGAAATACTGTCAGTCTGGTCCACCTCCAGGAACCTAATCATGCCTGAATTGCTCGGAGGAGTGTAATGATGGTAAACAGGAACAGGTATGTTGGCTTCTGTTCTCCTCCACGTTGGCCCTCGCGTTGCCTTTACAATAAAGCAAAAGACTGTTTTGAAGGAACATCATCTCAATAATAAAAGGCAGGGGGTGTTAGTGAAGCCGTTTTCCTTGGCAAATGGCATAAAGGTAATATTTAGTATTCACCTCATTGAATTCTCCTAGCCAGCTGGTCTGTCCCTGTTAAGACTTTCATTTATGCAGCTTGAGCTGGAACCCTTTTTGTTCCCCCAGTCTATTACTTTGTCTGTTTAAGGGATAACAGCCAAAGTGAAACAGCTTGCAATTTGCACCTGTCTGCTCTAAGCATTCCATGTTAGATTATATGGAGAGCAAACTCTTCATTGCTAATGAGACCAAGACCCGGTAGGGCTGAATGCAGTTTTGTTGGGGGGGCTCATAGAATATTTTAGTGGGGTTTTCCCCCTTTCCTAAATAATCTGATCAGTTCCTCCCTATTCTGGTTTTGAATTCCTACAGTAAAAAAATACAATTCAAAAAAAAAAAAAATGTAGTTGAAGTTGTGTATTTTTTTTTTTAAGATTTTATTTATTTATTTTGAGAAAGAGAGAACAGGAGCGGGGGGAGGGGCAGAGGCAGAGGGAGAAGCAGACTCCCCACTGAGCAGGGACCCCCAATGCAGGGCTTGATCCCAGGACCAGGAGATCATGACCTGAGCAGAAGGCAGATGCTTAACTGACTGAGCCACCCAGGTGCTCCAAAGTTGTGTATTCTTTAAAGAAAAATTTAAATGTCATGTATCTAACTAAGAATTGAACCAACATTCAGTCTGAGTTGCCTCAGATGAGAAAGAAAAAAATTAAATGCTAGGTTATTTCCAAGTTGTCATAAGCACAAAATACCTAGAGAGACCTTTAATTTGTACAAGTGGCCATGAACAAAAAGTTGATAAAAAATTTCTGGCTGTGACAGAAACAGGACTAGTTTTTAAAATAGTATCAATTGCCAGAAAGTGAACTGGTGTTCTCTGCTTATATTACCTTTGAAAATGTAATTGACTGGATGGAAAATAAAAATTCAAGTGGCTGAGTTCAAAATCACACATAGATGTATATGTGATATCATCATGTGACTCACAGAGTACATTCTCCACAAATACAAAAGTGTCAGCATACGATTCTCTCCCACCTTTTCTGAAAGTCCTCTGAATCCCCCTAAGCTTTGAAGAATTACATCAGTGGGGGGGCGCCTGGGTGGCTCAGTCGTTAAGCATCTGCCTTCGGCTCAGGTCATGATCCCAGGGTCCTGGGATCGAGCCCCACATTGGGCTCCCTGCGCTGCGGGAAGCCTGCTTCTCCCTCTCCCACTCCCCCTGCTTGTGTTCCTTCTCTCGCTATCTCTCTCTGTCAAATAAATAAATCTTTAGAAAAAAAAAAAATTATATCAGTGGGTTGCCATCTATTTTTTTAAAGAATTTAAATTAAATTCATTGTAATGAAAACTTTAAGTAAAGCTTATAACATTTCCTGAAACCTTATGTATTTTTAAAAAAATAATAATTTTTGGATAATTTGCCAAAATATCCTTGAAGATTATCCAAAATTTAGTAAAAAAAAAAAAAAATATATATATATATATATATATATACACACATACATATAACATTTATACTGAATATATAAAAAGAAGGTATACTGAATATATATAAACAGGTATACTGGAAAAATATATATATATAAAAGTGTATATATATATATATATATACACTTCTAATCAAAGGATTCATGCTACATTTAGATTCCAAAAAATCTCTCACATTGGCACCTCCTGTGGAAATGATAACTGATATGGTGCCAAGTTCAACAAAGTTGAGGTGGTCACAAATACGGTCTCACTGGTAACTTCTCGATGGCTGTTGGCGCACATCTAGCCTGACTGATAATGCTCCAGCTCGTCAGTGCTGAATCCTCTCCCAGGACTCTCGGAGTTCTGCCAGCCACTGCCGAGTCTGGGTAGGTCAAAGGGTTGAGCCATGTGTAATTCAGAACAGAGGAGGTCCCACGGTCACTCCACAAAAACAATTACACTACTTATTTCGCTCTATAGCCCTTGCCCCAAACTCACAAGCCTCACAGTTTCAGTGCGGCCAATCTAATTCTGCCCCTGGGCGATAAGCCACATGAAAATATGTGGCGCTGTGTTTATAAATCTAATCAAAACTAGAAACAGTGGACAGGCACAATGAGGTCCTACTATGGATCATGGGAATCCTTGGAAGTTCTGAAGGCACTTTTGTTTAACTTCCATAGACTCTCTTTAGCTGCTACATTGTCTGCTACACTCGTTAATCATCCTCTTTACTCGTGAGTGCTACAAAGGAGGCTAAATTTCTCCTCACTTCTCTACTTTTCATCCGTGGATCATATTATGAAAAATAAAGCTTAAAAGGCTGCTTTTAAAGGAAAAAATCAAAAAGGGAACTACTGTTATATCCATCTTACCTCTCTGTCCATGTTCTCCGCTCCTTGCCCTCGGCAATGCACAGATTTAAATCAAGTCCCTCTAAAAAAGAAAAATAATATTTAAAAACTGGAATAAATTGGTCTGGCCATAAGATAGATGAAGCAATTTGGGGTCGGAGAGCTATGATGCTACTTAAATGGTCCCGAGAATTCTCAGCATCAACAGGATTTGATTTGGGGTCCTGTTTTTACTGTTGTTCTCGTTTGCTCGAGCCAGACTCCTGATAAACTGAGAGTCCATGAATGTTCACAAAATGTTTTACTAGGAAGAGTTCAGACTTGATCAAGACAGCCTAAACTTCCTGTTTTATGCCCAAAAGGTGACTAATTCTGATGGCACTAAAAGGATGCTAAAAATTTACTGTTGATGCTTTACTACATTATCTTTTTTAAAAATAGGATCCAGGTTTGCAACTGTCCTAAATGGATGATACCTGATAAAGTCCATGATAAATATGTGCACTTAGGGACCTAGCAGATTAAATTCTGAGAACTTCATCCAGCAAAGAGATGCAATACACAAATTCTCATGAAAAGAGATGTGTTTTTAGCGCTCTTAAAACTCCTTGGATTTTAATTTTAATTAAAATACAGTTGTTACGGGGCACCCGGGTGGCTCAGTCGTTAGGCGTCTGCCTTCGGCTCGGGTCATGATCCCAGTGTCTTGGGATCCAGCCCCGCATTGGGCTCCCTGCTCGGCGGAAAGCCTGCTTCTCCTTTTCCCACTCCCCCTGCTTGTGTTTCCTCTCTCGCTGTCTCTCTTTCTATCAAATAAATAAAATAAAAATAAAAAAAATACAGTTGTTACAAATAAAGAACGCAAACTTCAAAAACAAAAGGAAGCCTCAACCCAAACAAACAAAAATTTAGATGCTCAGAATTGGCAGCACAAAAGAAAAGTTCTCTCCTGACATGTATCGTGGTAGTCTGAACACCCCCAGAAAATTGTGCCAAAGAGGTTAAAAAACAAATATACAATAAAAGTAAGCACACACACACACACGTGCGCGCACGTGCACATACAGCAAACTTCAGGTAACTAGTTTGGATTGCAAATGAGGATAAATTTAATGTTCAAACAATCTGATAAAATAGCCATCTGGAACCTGAAAAAAAACAAAAAACAAAAACAAAAAAACTCCTTAGAGTCATGTGATAAATCATCAAATTTAATCTGCAAGCTATTACATTGGATATTATTTCAATTGATAAAAATACTACACTAGAACTCAGTCGGGACCAGATGATTGTAATAATGTGTGGGAATAATAATAAATGGGAATTTTTTTCTTTTTTATTTTTAAAGATTTTATTTATTTAATTGACAGAGAGAGACACAGTGAGAGAGGGAACACAAGCAGGGGAGTGGGAGAGGGAGAAGCAGGCCTCCCACCAAGCAGAGAGCCCGATGCGGGGCTTGATCCCAGGACCCTGGGATCATGACCTGAGCCGAAGGCAGATACCTAAAGACTGAGCTACCCAGGTGCCCCAGATGGGAATTTTTTCTAACGAGCAAGATAGGCCCAGCATTTATTAGAATATTATAAGCATTCACCAAAGGAGCCTTTTCAACTTGGAGATTGCCCTTTCAAAATGGTTATCAGTATTTGGCAGTAAAACAAAGTGCATCATATATGAATGATATATGTAACATGTTTTTTTTTTTTTATTTGGAGCTCTCAGTCACAGTTTTAAAAAGTCACTTCACCATATGTATGAGCTCTTATATGGCTAACAATGTTGAAAAATGAAAGATTTTAATCCTTCTAGTGTTAATTTTAAAATTTACTTTTTTATGTATGAGTAACATCAAAGATTCAAAGATTATATAGGTTACTTCCTAAAAGAAGGGAAATGCATATAAAATTTTCTTAAAGGAAAAAAGTCTACATCAAAATGAGAAAATCTGAGCCAATCAGCAGAAGTTGAGGTTTGACTTGCTTGTTTTTTCCCACTGCACAGTGACTAAAGTCTAATCCCAACGCACATATTTCTGGGAATGTATTGTGAAGTGGGAATCTGTCTTCTTTGGGTTCCTTAAACTTGGTATTATTCTAATAGCTAATATTTGTCTTTAAAATATCTGTAATTTGTCAAGTGATTCATGTTATTGTCATCATAAATTTATCTTGCAGACATATAATTTGAAATGTACAAACCACAAAACAAGGGTGTCTCTACCCACATCAATATAGGGCTTAGAAAACTTTCCAATAAGGCAGCCCACTTTTGTCCCTTCACAGAAGGCTGCATTTTAGACATCTTTATGCACAGATATTTAGAATGCGATATTAGTACAATAAGACTTTGTAAAATTATAAAATAAGGTCAGAATCCTTTCATTCTCTCATATAAAATAGGTAGCTAAATCTGAAAAGTGCTTTGATAGAACCTAGTGCTGTATCATTTATTTTATTTTTTTTATCTTTACCAAGTGGTGTATCATTTAAAATGCAGCTCTCTCTAGAGCTATACAATTGTATTATCTCCCTGTCTCACAAGCAAAGTGTGTGGTCTAGAATTCCTCCCTGCTTGGGAATCTCTGTGAGCCTAGATCAAGCATTATTTGCAATTAAGAGCCTCAGTTCCCATGTATCTACAAGCCAGAATTTGGGAGTCAGATCCCTTACAGTTGGGTCAGATCCCTTACAAACTGCAGAATAGAGGCAAGGAAGAACAATCCGCCTACCCTGAGCCAGGGAACTATCAGTGAACATGTGACCAGGCTGTAGGACATAAAAAAGATGTAAGCAAGATGTCATTGCTGATCTAAATACTGACACACAAATGTGTGTGCCCAGTGCAATTTCTAGGAATTTAATTCAAAGGCCTCCAAAGGGGGAAAGGAACTGTTAAAAGATCAGAAATTACCCTTCAGTTGCTAAAAGCTGTGGCAAGGAGGGTGGATAGAGGCATAGGGGTGAGGCAAGTTCCAGGCACCAGAGATGTCGAATCAGTGAGAAAGACGTACGGGCATTGGAGTGGACTTTGAGGAACAGGCAGGATTCAGAGCTAAATAGAAAAAGAGAGATGGGGCCGCCTGAGTGGCTCAGTCGGTTAAGCGTCTGCCTTCGGCTCAGGTCATGATCTCAGAGTCCTGGGATCGAGCCCCACATCGGGCTCTCTGCTCAGTAGGGAGTCTGCTTCTCCCTCTCCCTCCTCTGCTCCCCCTGTTTGTGCTCTCTCTCTCTCTCTCTGTTAAATAAATAAATAAATAAATAAATAAATAAATAAATAAATAATCTTTTTTAAAAAAAGGAAGAAAAAGAGAGATGGAAGAACACTATCAGCACTGAATGGCAACAGAAGTGAGAATAAGTTCTTAGAACAGCGAGCAGAATCTGTAGGCAAATAATAATTTCAACAAGTTAGTGATGAATGAGCAACCACCACATCCCCTAAAAAACTGATCACTTGGGGTGCCTGGGTGGCTCAGTCGGTCAGGCATCTGCCTTCAGCTCAGGTCATGATCTCAGAGTCCTGAGATGGAGCCCCACTCTGGGCTCTCTGCTCAGCAGGGAGCCTGCTTCTCCCTCTCCCTCTTTGCTCTCTCTCTTGCTCTCTCTCATTCTCTCTCAAGCAAATAAATAAAAAATCTTTAAAAAATAAAAACTGATCACTTGTGGAACTGGCAAAATATGGAGCCTATCAAAGAACTGATGTATTTGCTAAACTGTCTGTATGTCTATGTTATCAAGAAAGTCCCCAAATAGCTTCCTTTTCAAAAGGAAAGGAAACTAAATAACAGTTATACATACTATACATGTACCAGAAGCCTTGGGTTGGGCCTTTTAGGAACATAGGATTTAATGAACTAATGGGCATCATTACAAAATTGTCACTATGGCTACAAATTTGGACCACAGTGTGGCATGTTAGTTGAAATGCAAGTGGACTACCATAGGAATGGTGTCTTAAAAGCCAGTCTCAAAGTTGCAAGCAGGTTGATAATTGCAATATCACCTGCTTGCAAGTAACCTGTTGACAACGTTCTGTTGAGCTTAGCTTAATAATCACCCGCTAATTTGTATAGTCACTTTTTTTGGTTTGTTTGTTTTAAGGCTGATTTGAAAATGGCTTTCCCCGAAATTGTTGACCTTGTATTGCAAATTAAATCCTGGAATTGCCAAATCTCTGACAACTGGTTCATTGCTTCCAGAGAAGGGAATTAACATGGCTACAGCTGTCATTCCATTGCATTTTTCTTCTCAAGCAGACCAGCAAGGGCAAAGATGGTGTGAGACAGAGGTTGCAAGCCAGATTCTGTCTGCAAACATGTTTTGTTTGAACTCTGCAGTGATTTAAAACATATTGAACCGATATTTAAAAATAAGAAAATTGGCATAAAAATCCGACTTCTGGCTTCTCTCGGAAAATTTAAAAATTTGGCAAACTAGGATCAACTTCCATGGTGAGCTGGAAGCGTACTCTCTCAGCATTGCGCTCCTGGTCTCCAACTCCCCCTCTTCCTGCTGCAAACCACAAACCAAAATGTAAGCTCCACAAGGGCAGAGTTGATTTAACTCATCGTCACATCCTCAGAACCTAGAACAGAGCCTGGCAAGCGGGGGGTGCTTGATCATTAATGTTGAATGACATGATCTCAGGGGCAGACAGGGAACTTTCATGGGTGGCTTGAAGACAATAGGCATGTCCAGAAACTGTCACAATGCATGTCTCACTTAAAAAAAAAAAAAAAAAAAATCTGTGCAGGTCAAATAAATTCTGCCAGTCCTCAGGCAGAAAGAGAGGGAAAGTACCCACATATCATTCTGCTTGCACTGCTGTTTTTCTTATAAAGAAATATTTCTCGGCATCCCTGCCACTGTCAAAAGTAGGACCACAAGTGGGAAAATGAGAGTGAACAGAGAACCAGCACATTTCACTCATTTATACTTCTTGGCTTGGCCGCTGCAGGCATCTGAATTTGAAACCTCTGCAAGAGAGATGGGAGTAGGTCTCATACCCACAATAACAAAGTGCTCTACCATAGTCCTCCCTCAGCCTGCTCTGTAGCTTCAGCACTACGG